TACGACGTTGCCTGGGTAGAGACGTATTGTATTGAACCACAAAGGCACTACCATCCAGTATGTCGGCCTCCGGGACAATGACCGGAACTACCACAGGGTGTATCATAATAGAAGCAAAAAGTAATATTCGTATTAAAACTTAAAAACTGACGAAAACATTTATTATCTTTGTATAAGCATACTGCATTATGGTGGTTTAGTGTAAATTGTTGACAATTCCTTGTGTTGCTTGAATTGCGGGATAAAACGCGCCTGCAGCACATGGAGGTAACTGTCGCCGGAAACCGTAGCATCAAAGAAAAAGGGACGCAGGAGACACTTTGAAGAGAATCCCGTCCACACACAGAGATGAGGGGAATGGAGATTATGGGTGAGGTAATCGTGAAAAGCTTCCTGGGACCATAGCACGCAATTGTGCTTGTTGATTATGCCATCCACAGAAAAATTTGCTTCGTCGCTCCATAAAGTGTTGGGAACAATTTCTTCATTGTCCAGCAGCCAGTTAGCGAACGTGACACGTTGCTCCTTGTGTTCTTCCGTAATAAAGTGAAATGATACGGGTAGAGATGAAGGTGGCGTCTCAGAATACGATGAATGCTGACGCGAGGAATGTGGGTCAACTGAGACACCTGAGTTATTGACGAAGATGCCCTGGTGCTCTGGGACTGAAGTTGCTTGACGGCATTCTGTACAATGGGTGCTCTCTCATCACTCAGAGACTTTCTCCCTTTGCCAGGGAAATCCAATACAGATCCAGTGAACTCAAATTTCGCAATCAAGCGTGTAATGGTCGACACGGTGAAAGGATTTTTGATGGGATCATGCTTGGTTTTGTAACCACGAAGTGCATTGGTGGCGCTTTCACCAAGGGAATAATAGAGTTTCACAATTTCAATGCGCGTACTAACATCCATCGTAAACAGAAAAAATGTTAACACTTTTATACAAAACCTTCTTTATGTGGCTACTAATAATGAAAAGTTTTGTTATCCTTTTCTTTACTAACTACGTTTACTTATCCAATTAAATTTAGCGTTTATTATGAGACAATTTGTATTGACCTAGAATGCGAACCTTCGGAACACACGTTGGAATCCGGTTTTGCTGAGAGCTACTCATCATCATAGGAAGAGATAACGTCACGGTGGAATACCATTAGTTGGATGGCTGTCAGTGTGACGATGATGTCATCCACACGGCTAGCAAAATGTTGTGGCCACCGGTTTCTTCTCGACGCTATTCCTTGACCAGAACACCTGCATTTATAAACATGTTTTAAAAGTATACATTTGTAGTGCATTACTCATAAGGTTGCTGAAAATCAGTCGACAGCCCGCGACCGGTTTCGCCCTTCTTGGGGCTCATCAGGTAGGCGCAGTCGCCGAGTTTCCGTCAACCTTATGTTCTACTTGAAACCAAATTGCACGAAATTAGTGAATATACACTCATTTGCGAACTAATTTGGTTTTGCGAGAGACTCACCTTGAACCAAGCTGAATCTCTCGTTTGTGATGTTTTAATAATGACCGCGTCCATTCCGTCAAACTCAAAGATGTAAATCTCGCAGTAGAAACAACACACGACTCCACTAAGAACGCTGTTGTTCATTGTCCTTTGGGTGGACAATGAAGACTAGAGATTATCGCCAACCGTGTCCAAAATAATGTGGACAGCCCAAATATACAGAAAATTATGCTTCGTTCATCACCCAAGGCACCGAATGAATGTGTGGTTGAAAGACGACAGCCAGAATCGTGTATCAGCGGGCTTACACATCATTGAGACCGGACGTTTCCATTTAAACCGAACAAATCTGTCTTTCAACCCTGACCGTGTTCGATACGTGACTGGTTGATCACCAACGGTGTAATGAAACGCTCCACACCAACGCTGTTAGGCAAGTGCTCTGTGCGAGCCCCGATGAACTAGGAGCTTTCGCCACGGAATCATCGGTGGGTACAATACTTTGAGAACGTTCCCGCTTTGACCGGAAAAGAATTTGCTCAAAACAAGCGTCGTCTACATTGTTTCGATGTTAGTACAGTCAGTGTGAGAAACTCAACCCTGAGCCAACCCTCCCAAGATTGCACAACTCTTGGTTTCGGTCTGAAACATTCTTTCCACACCTTCACCATGGCGGTCAAGGTGAGGCAACCACTAGATGAAGCAGTTGGGAAAACTCTAGCTGTTCCATGTTTTATTCCAGTACACACTACCAATTAATGTCACTTATTAAGCCTGGTTGAATTCACGATTACAAAAAACCCGCAACACTGGGAAAACCGTCTGTTCTATCCCTATTACTCAAGTTCGAGTCCGGTTATCACCAAAATAATTAAACCTGAGAATCTTTCAACAGGGATAATGAGCAAGTCATTGCCCTCATTTTTAAATGCAACTTGCTATATCACTGTGTTTCTTTTTGGTTTCGAAAGTAACAAGAAAGGAATAAAAATTTGCAAGGGTGATAGCAGAACGGAAAGAATTTTCTATAGTCCTGGTGTTCAAACTGCATGTGTCGCCGAGGTCTTGGGATATGTGTAAACGAGCGTGTTTCAGTAAGCGCACAGGCGTTTTAACGTTTAGGTACGTTCAGTTAAGTAATTCTTCCTGAATTGCTAAACTGGCTGATTTTTTTCGTTTTGAGTCGGCAGAGAAATTCTGCGCTCGTCGCGTGTGGCCAAACATTTTGAATTTATCAATCCATAATCAGCCTAAAGAAATCGAACATAACGAGTAATCACATTTTCAAAGCAACTGGGACATACAGAAACCAACTCATAAGTTCATTTCATTTCAGTTATTAGGCCTGGGGTCACGTGAGATGCTTCTTGGGGAGACATGAAAAAGCACGCCTCAGAGGTGATACACTGCACATTGGTCACTCATGAGGCGCGGTTCATACATAGCTTTTCTTACTTGCCTGTCTTGCTGTATTCATCCGTGGACAGAGGCAACATAATGGACTTTATGAAAAGGCACTCTTCCATCTCATAGGCTCGTTCTGTTCTTCCATACCAGATTCTACTCGGATCGGTTTCGATAATTTTCCCACATGGTAGGTTGACAGCGCAACCACGTAGAACCGTGGTGCCGCAACATACTGCCCCGCGGCCACCCAGCGTGCACAGGACTGCTGGGCCCCGTTCGGTCAAACTGACAGTTGGAGTCAATTCACTGACAATGAGTTAACTCAGTTTTCGGCACATATTTTTAGAAACTGTACATACACCACAGAACCCTTCGGTTTGCGAAAACCTTGTAAAAAAAACTAGTTATTTAGATGCACTGTTAATGTCATCTGCAGTGCGGGACCTCTGTGCACCAACATGAGCTGAACAAATCCGACCACTCTTGTCAAGTTAAAAGATGAAATCACGCTTATATCTGCGCGCATTCGATATGCCCCACCTTTCTAAGGAATGACATGTTCTCTTAATTCTTTCATTTTACCATCATCTGGCGTTTGGTATGAGTTAGGTGAAAAAAGTGTAAGTAGACGTTCAAATTCGGTAGAGAAAATCTGGAGATTTCAACATTCTGTGGTTTACGACAATACAACTTATTTGCAAATAAATTTGGTTCTCGTGGAAGATTCAGTCGGATCCCTCGTTTATAATGTTCTTCAACTGAGTGTAATGCCTAAAGGCCGACTCATGTTCCATATGGTACGATGGTCGAGATATCGCAGTACATTTTCATAAAAGAAGCTACTCACATAGTTGCTGAAAACTCGTCGGCACGCCACGACCAGTTTCACCCTTCTCGTGGCTCATCAGATAGACGCAGTCCCCGAGTTTCTATCAACCTTATGTTTTACTTGAACTCGAAGAGTTTTCAAAAACCTTGTGACTAGATTCCGTGTTTCACTTTCCTGGAGTTTTATTTCTGACCGATTGCGGTTGCACAGTCCTCATTTTATCCCGGTGCGATTATTCTCATCAGTCCAGACCAAAGCGTAGGGAGGGGCCAATGGACTCAAGTTTGGCTCATATTAGAGCTCATTAACCGTGAATATTCTGGGTTGTACAGAGGAGTGAAACCCGGACATCTGGTATGCGCGTCGAGCTTGTTACCGCTACTCCACCAGTGTATGCCGGACTCGCTCAGGCAGCAATAAGCCACTGCGAGGATAAAGTTTTTGGCCTCCAGGTATTACGTGAATTAGACCATCAGTACAGCGTCGCGGTAACATGTGCGCTTGAATATATACCCAAGATAGATCATTTAAACCAACAAAAGCCCCTGGTGATCCACATACGCCTATCCCCAGGTTTGGAAAGTTCTCTATGGGGCTAATCAACGAAACTTCCATATGTATTAAATTCTCCGGGTATGAATAGAACTCTCCAATGAATCCTATTCATAAGTACTTTTTGGCACTAAAGAATCGGCAGAATCGTGAAACATTCACAGGAATCCGAGATAACTGCTCAACCAATCGAGCATTGAAAAGCTGTCAGTACCCTTTGAGCAACGCATGCATCTGTAAGGCATCAGCTGAACATCACGTGAGACGTAAGACTCCAATTTATCCCGGTGTCGACCTAAAGTTTTTGGACAGCCCACTGACAGTGCTGGATTTATGCACCAATTTATCATCTCCTGCCTGCAATGCGCAGCTACCCCCTCTCCAAATCATCGATGAACGGAACTGTGGCAGCTACAACCAGTGTATGACGAGTACGCGGTTATTACAACTGACAATGATGATGATGATGATGAGACAGAAATGTCCAACCTCAAAAGGATACCAAAGTGGCTGTCTATATTAACCCAAAAAATCTGAATCAATGCTGACAGATAAGGCCCAAGTCTGAGGAATCCGTGCGGCTATGTGGTGTACAAATTCAATATTACTGTGGTCGACGGCAAACTTGGGCTTTTAGCCACTCGGTAAAATGAAGTTCAACATTGTCGTTCGCTATTTTCTTGAGCGAAGAAGTCTATCTCTGTAGCTCAGTCTGTGAAATGAGTTTCGATCACTTTTCGCTACGCAGCTGCACGTAACTGCGATCGTAGATGGACTGACGGATTGGATCGATCAGATACAATTGTCACCGAGTCAAGGTGACAGTTTGCCACAGTTAAACGCACAAGAGTATAAATCTCACCAGCATTTTGCCAAACAAACTTTGGTGACGTGAGAACGTCCGGTACACTGTTTGAATGAATTTTTAGTGCCTGTAATTTGCACTCAAGGTGCTTAAGATCTTCCAGAAGGCTTTCGTTTAAGCCCTTGACGAACTATGGATTGTAAACTCTGTAGCTGACAACGTTTGTATGTGTGACAACAACTTGAAAAATCACGACACAAATTTTGAGCGATTCGTTGAGCGTCAGTTTGAGCTCAGAAAACTCAGTGGGAAAAGATCATCTGCCAATACAGTCATCAGGCCGATGAATGAAGTATCAGAACGTTTAGCGGGAATACTGATCAGACTACAGAAATGCACCTATTAATTAATCTGGCCCTGACCGAAAACGCAGATGTGTATTGCTGATAAACTGTCCAGAGCTTACACCTTGATTGGTGAGAAATCAACTTCAGGATTCGAGCCCTTTGGCATCGTGGAATTCTCACCAATAACTTATGTTATTTGTGAAACTTGTCAAAGATCAAAACAGCAATGAGGAGTGACGCTTTTAGGTGAGAGCTAACCCCATCGCATGATAGCGGCTTGCCGGAAGATAACGCAGAAATCTCAGGGCACTCGAATGAATCCCACATTGATCGTGATCAGTTCTTCGATGGACAGGACGTTTTGACCAGGGATGACGGTGAAGTGATATGAAAAGAATTTGGACAACGTCTGATAAGAGAAGTACACTCGATGTTGAAGGTAGTATTCACAATATTTGAAGGCTACTTTACCGGACGGATATAGCTAGTCAAATCAAGAACCACGTGACCAATCACAGACGAAGGAGCCGATATTCTTACTCCACCTCGATGAGTCGTGCTGATCATCTCCTTTGTAAGCCAAACTCAACATTGGACTCCGATTCGGCAAATTTACTGGGTCGATTCGGATGAGAAAGCGTTTGTTTCTGCTCGCTGTGCTGGGGCAAACAGCTAAAACAAAGGAAAAGGGTGGTCGTGAGTATGACCACTTTGGAACGTTAAGCAACAAAAAACCCTGTCTGGATATACACAGGTGACAGAATGTTGAGATGCCGTAAATCAACTTGGGATGGAGTTGTCAAATTGAGTGTCCACTCCACATACGGTTATTTCGGTAAGAGGAAACGAGGATCAGGATCGCTTTTTTGTCGTCGTTTGAGGCTCCAAATTTCCGGCCCAGTAGCAGATGAAATCAAAAGTCAGCACACTGTGATCATCTTGTCCCAGTGGAGCGTTAAGTATCACCTGATCAACGAAGTGTCTATTGTTGATGACTGAATTCAGCAGAGATGCTTGTTGGCGCGCGCGGTATCCGGTAAGTGCGATGACATGTTGAGTCCAGGCGTTCTGTTGAACGACTTTGGTCAGCGCCAATTCAAATCGCAAGATAGACCGGACGCACTGGAGTTCCATTCGGAGGGTCTTGGGAGTGATAAAACCAAGGAGTGTGAAGTGTTAGCTAGAAGAGATTTGCTCAAGTGTTTGGCTGAGGAATTGGTCCTTTTACGGAGAACTCGAAGAGCAATGGTCGACCACCCCGAAATGAAGAGAATCTGTCCCAAGCAGCGGAAATCAAATCCACGGTGCATCACAAAAAGATGTAGGAGTGGTATCGAGGAGAACAAGCGGGATGGGCGGGGTCGTATATGAGTATAAAGCATACTGTCATGCTCTGATTGTAACCCGGATCATCACTGGAAGTTCATATGCTAACTTGACATACATATAGAGAACAAAGTAAAGGATGCCGGTCAGATGCTCCTGTTTTGGACCACTATTGTCAATGGAACACAAAGGCAGCTATTGGAGGACTCTTGCCGGAAGATGCTTAGTTTAGGGTTTGAGCGATTCCTCGCAATTTTTCGGACAGCTTAACATTGTTGCTCGCTGTCTACATGAAGGCCTGTTCCAATTGGTAAGGTAGAACACTGGAACAGCCTGGTCTCTGTTGAAATTGCGAAGCTGTGAGATCGTGCCAACGCAGCTGCGTTAGGTTTTATATTCACTTGTCGTTGTAAAGAGGATTGTGCGCTCTCTTCTGCTACCACTGTAGCACAGCTGGGTTGACGTAGCAGACAAAATACCGATCACGGGCGAGGATCCAACTTTCACTGACTTAGAAGAGCCTGTGGACACAGGCTCCAGGTTCACACGAAATCGGTTTGGGTAACTGACTCAAGAAGAGCACGTAAGATGCCCTACTGTACTGTTGACTTCTACCAACTAAGCTCCTAGACGGGATAGTTTCACGAGTTTCCTGACCATACCAAAGTCAGACGCGGAATGCGTTTCGAAGCCCTGTCTACTATGTTCTCAGCCTTGCCCAGTTTTCAACTACCAGCGCTTCCTCTCCACGGAAGTTACTCAGAAGTGGAAGTGAATACGGGAGCATAATGCATGTTTTGTCTGCTTGGAGGACTGCCACATGGCTAGAGATTGCAAGTCAATTGTTTGACGCGGGCAGTCGGGCTGCAGGGCACGACGTCATAAGTTGTGTCATGCATTAAAACCCGAAAACGAAGAATGAACGACTTCAGAGATGAAGGAGTTTTGTGCCTTAACTCAAGGCGATCGGCCTACAGCACTTCTAAGAGTTGTTCTTGTTAAGTTTGGCACCCCTACAGGAAAGGTGACAACGTATGCGTTTTTAGACGCCCGGTCCGATATGACGTTCAATAAGCAGAACCTTCTGGATAAAAACGAGACCAGATTGCTACCCACTTGCATGGCCATTGATGCACTGGATGGTCCCATGGAATGCACTTCTAAAGCCAAAAGCATCATGCTCTCACCAGTGGATAAAAGCCAGTTATTAAATATGGACAGGGAATTTTCCGTGGACGGCTTATCCATGAGAGCTGTTCCACTAAAAATCGATTAGCTTGATGAAGTATCCTTAGACGAACTGACTGAAGACAAGGTAAGGACTCTTCTCGGGTGTCACGTATCCCAAGTGAATTGGGCATTTGATCAGTGCTTGGGAAGTAAAAAATTATCATTAGTATTATTATCTTGGCACGATGGGAATTGGGATAAGATAGAAGGTTTTTAGGGATTGTATAGCTGAGCATAGCAGGGGAATCCAGGAGCATTTGCAGCGGCTCTACAATATGAAATTCACTTACACTTCAACATCCAACGCTAGTCTCTCCTTAGAGGGTCAGAAAGCACTAATGATAGTAGAGACTGGCGTAGTGCGGGCAAATGACTCAAAATGTGCCATCTGTAACTGTGGCGCAATATGTCATAACTTAAATGTTGGTGATTGCTTAACGTCCTTTTCGGACTCCGAACCGGCCAATTTCTTCGTTAACGATATGATTGCTTTGCTCTCAAATAGAGATTTCTCTATGTGAAACTGGGCTTCCAATGGTCGCAAGGTCTTGTCAGTCATTAATCTCCCAATCTGGTGTGCGGAACATGACTACGGCCTCGTAGCCAATGGAGCCAAAGGGGCCAGTGGGATACAGATTCTGATGTACTTCTGATCGTCCTTAACTTACTGACAAAACCTTGAACACGCAGCGGCCTTCCTTCCGGTATGTTTTCACTGTATGATCCTCTCGGATTCGTTTCTCTGTGGTTTATACCAAGCAAGTGTCCTTTACGACCCCTGTGTAAAGGCAGACTTGGTTAGAACAACCCGTTAAGCGGTACTGATCGCATTTACTGGGATAATTGTTTACCTAACCTTCGTAGCATCCATAAATTGCGATTCCCCGGGTGCGTAAAGCCGAACTTCATGTAATCTACAATGTGCCTAAAATTGCATATGGCGTGGCAGAAACGTTCAACTCACGGTGAACGCTGAGGTTTCTGACAGTTTGCCTGTAGGTTCGAAGGTGCGGAGTGCCTCCTTCAATCCGCTTTAATAACAAGGTTGAGGCTCATTAGCCACACAATGCTCTTAGCTACAAAACCCTTGCAAGTGAAATAAAAAATTTACGTTTAAATGTTGCATTTTGGTTCGTATGTGCTCACACCAAAAACCACCTAATCTACTTCCACATTTTTACAGCTCACCGAATTTCATGCTCCACTGGAGCCATCGTACCTCCGGCGATAAAAGCCCAGTGGGATACTTTCCTGGCATCACCGATACCCCAGGATGCCAAGGGCTCAAAAGATCGGACTCGTACTCGGAGCTCAATTGTTTGTCTTGTTTAGTCTAACAAAAACAAGCCTTAGTTTTCGAAAATTCAGTTCCGTTGTGCGAATACTGCTCGCCACCTAAGTAGGAGTTTACGGCTGCATGCTTGGCAGTCCGAGTGGCATATCTAATTTGAAGCAGGTTAAAAGGGCCACTTCCGGTGTACTGTGCTTTGGACCGACTACATGATTGTCCTCTACTACGTTCATAGCATATCTTTTAGACTCTGCTGCACATTGGCTAACAATTATTCTTGATGGAGACGCGTCACGTCGGAGAAAAATCCAGCTGGCTACCTCTCGAGGAGCATACATCCGCAGTTCGTTGAGTGGATAATTAACTGGACATATATTTCTGCTCGAACAAGAAATAATAAGCCTTCATAGATTCGATTGGCGGAGCTGAAATGAGTCCAGTTGAGGAGCGGTGTAGTATTTGTTAACCAGCACGAGCGAAATAATGATGTGTCCACCAATGACTTGGCTTTCCTGTTGGGTTAACCTACATAAGGTTGCAGCTAGGTCACTACGTTTTTAGTTAATTGCAGCAGACAGGGCGAGTAAAGAGGGTCTAACTTCTGGTGTTATTAGAGTATCCAAACTCCGCCAAGCACGTAATCTTTTGATAAGGATCATGCAATTCAATCAGTTTGCACAGGAAGTCCATTTGGCCGATGCATCCATACAAGATGTTAAGCACCTGAGCAATCGAATCCACAAGGCAGCATTCGAAAGTTGTAGCCTATTTCGAATGATGGTGTATTACGCGTAGTGGGTATACTTAGTTAGGTCAGTAAAACATCCAGCAATTCTTCCAAACCATCCCTGATGGTACTATGATTGTACACCACTTTCACGAAGACGAACGGCACT